AGAGAGTAACAAACATAAAAAAGAAGAAGGGGAGATAAGGACGATAGATGTTTGATAGGAAAGAAGAAGCAAACCACACCAGAGCACCCGCCAACCACCCGCTTTTTATGTCTGAAACAGAGGTTGTTATAGTGCACTCTTCACTCGCAGGTTTGAGTCTTACAAATTGTGACCTACGTGCTCTAAATCACAGACGTCGCCACCGGCACTATTGAAGGTGTATTTTTTTTCAGTCTAAAACAGAAAGGGGGCCTATCTTGAAACACATTTCTTCTTAATCTTTTTTCTTCTTCGCATCCTCCTCTTTCTCCCGTATCCTCTTCCTCCATCTCCTAGATCTATAACGTGTCTCTCTCGGCTGTTCTGGACTTGTTGCCATTGAATTCTGATTCGTATTCACCGTGGACTGGATCCTGTGCTGGTAAATACCATGTTGTATACACAGTTTTGAAAAATATTTTGTGGTGTCACATTTTAGATCATTTAGTCAGGAGGCGGGCTTCAAACTCTGACAATCTTTGCTAGAAAAGCATGCAGTATACCATATTTCTTTTTATATTTGGGCGTTTTTACACTCCATCGACGCAATTTAGATCATTTAGGAGGCGGGTATCAGACCCTGTGAGAATCTTTGCAAGGACTTACCTCAATGTCCCTGTCGTTGACCAGCTCTATTGACCAGCGGCCCTCGTGCTTGATCCACACAAAGATGACGCCGCGACTGTCGCAAGTCGCCAGCTTCTGATACGGCTCATTCCAGCGCACCAACACCACCTGGGCAATAGAGAGGTTGATTCATTGAGTAGGTGTTCCACAGTACTACCGACACATTGTTGGTGATGTAAGCGTCGAGACAATAGAGAAAGAAACATTCAGTTAAGCTCAAGTGGAGAGAGGTTCAATGGCTCAATAACAGCCATTAAGAGCAGAGAAAAACCAGGGCAGGCAGACATGTTTTGTTAAGAGTTTTACAGCACTAGCAACACGATTAAGTCATATAAAAGCCGAAGATTAAAGGTGTTACAAAAGAGTAAGTTTTAGCTTTAGTAAGATTTTTAAGGCCCTTGCAACACAATAAGGCCATATAAGTGCCGAAGAATAGATATTTTACTAGAGCGTAACATACACAAAAAAGGAGGAGAGATAAGGACAATAGATGTTTGATAGGAAAGAAGGAACAAACCACGCCAGAACATCTGCCAACCACCCACCAAGAGAGTAATACACACAAAAATAAGAGAGATGACTGATAGATGTTTGTTAGGGAAGAAGGAGCAAACCACACAAGAGCACAAGTTCAGTTTAGCTGGAGAGGAAATACGAGCAATGGCACGGTAACGGACATGTATTTCGAGCTGTGGAAAAAGCAAAATACGAAGAGACAAAGACATCAGGAAGGAGAATCGGGTCACATGTACTGTGTCTGACATTATCATTAACATTTTATCTAAATGGCTATATTCTTACAAATACAAATGGCAAAAGAGCGGACAGACTTGGGCGGATTCCAGTTGTTTTGTTGTTGTAGTTTTTTTTAAACAAAGAAAAGCAAAGCACCACACTGGCACGACAACGACTATTTAAACCAGGGGGAAAACAAGAAAGACAGACAGAACTATGAGAGGGTTCGTTTTAAATTTTACATGTAGTAAGTTTTACAGCACTTGCAATACAATTAGGTCATAATAATAAGTGTCAAAGATTAGAGGTGTTATAGGAGACATAAGACCGATTCATGTTTGATAGGAAATAAGGAGCAAACCACATCAGAGCATCAACCGAGAGAGCGAGTACTGAATTAGCACTTACGAGTGGTGCCCTCCAACTATCTTTACTAGAAGTTGTCCTTAGTCGGATTTTAACCTGGGACGGCATTCTCAGTTTATTCAACTTGCACGTTCAAAAAAAGAATGAGAAACAGCTCAAAACTTTCCGTGTTCATCAACATTAATACGTTTTATGGAGGCACCACAATTTCTAAGTAAAACGCGGAGGAATTCGTCATTCAGCAATAGGCAACAGAGCCCAATACTCTTAAAAATGAATTTACGCACTGTTACGTTGAGGAGTGCAAGGGCAGGGGCTGGGGCTTGACTTGTACTTTGCTTCTTTATTCGTTTGTTTGTTTGAGTAAAGAGAAGTACATCGACACAAAATAACAGCCATTTACTGCAAAGAAAAAGCAAGCAAATTACAACCAGAAGAGGAGAACGAAATAAGTAGGACCAACCAAAGATGTCGTCCAACCAGACTCACTAGATCTCCGCAGAGTGACAGTTTCAGGACAATGGCCATGGTAAAAAAAAATGTACTTCAGTTAGACCATTAGTGGAATAATACGACGGCACTTGCAGCACAAATAGGTCACATACGTGCCGAAGATTAGAGGGTTTATTGAAGAGTGTCATACGAAGAAAAGAAGGAGGAGGAGAGATAGATAGAGACGATGCGTATTTGATAGGAAGGAAAGAGAAAAACCACATAATTGCACCCGCCAAACACCTACAAAAAGAGGTATACCTACTGTGTCCAATCCCTCGGGGTACATAGGCGGGAGATTGGCTCCAGTTAAAACGAAACGTATTGATCGGCCCGTGGCTCAGCGAAGCCCGGGACGTGCGAAAATACAAAGAAAGTCAAGTTTACTATCGATGCCCTGTATCCCCTTTCAAGACAAGCAGAAAGATCTCATTGATGGTGAGACACGGAAAGAAACATACACCGGGAAAAAGGGAGACAGACAGACAGACAGACAGACAGACAGACAGACAGACAGACAGACAGACAGA